TACGATGCCTCAGCAGGTTCCAATTAAAGAAGGCCTAATCCAAAGTGCACTGACGTTAATAAGAGACTTTTTGTCTTTTTTAATAAGAGACTGTTTTTGTCTTTTTACTGTTGGGGCTTGGACCAGACATCAGTTTCAGAAATGGTACCTGTATCACATACAGATGTTTTAATGCAGACTCCTCCTGCAGAAGAGACAGGAATCTTCCTGTGCCATCATCAGCTCTACCCACCAGTTTCAAAGGAAAATTGCAATTAATCTTTTTCCACAACTAAAATGCTAGGTTCAGAGGTGAATTCTGCTAAAACACATACTAATTTTTTAATCTGCGTATTTTTGTTTCTGGAAAATGCTCATTTTTCTCAGGTAAGCAGTTAAAAAAGACACTGCATTCAAGGTGGGGAAAAAGCCAGAACACTGAATTTATTTTTATATCTTTAGATCTTAGGTGGCAGTAAGACACCTTGAAACTTAAAAATCTTTTCATTTAGTGAAATCTGGACAAAGATTTTGAATCTTCACTGTAAATAGACAAAGGTTTTATCAACTGTCCTTTTAGCTCTACTTCTACTGTGTCTTGACATTGGTCTTTGTCTATGGAGAATATGGAAGCTTATAAACAGCTTTATATATTTATATATTAGCTCTCAAAGGCTGTTTTCATTTCCAATAAGAAACAAAATTTGCAGCATGACCACATTTAGCATTAGATGAGCATGCCTTTTATTTTCTTTAACTATAATATAACATTGTTTATTTTTTCAGACTTTTGCAAAATGTTTTATTCCATAGATCAATGGCCATCATAAAATATGACTCCTGATGGAAATTTCCCTCACTATATCTGGGAGAAGTGGTTAACACATGAATGCATTTTCATTGGCAGTCTGACATGCTTTTACCCTGAGAAGATCCTTCCTTTGTGATTATTCATACAGCTTATGCAGGTGAAAATTAGTGCTCTTAGGTCTCACCTATTGCCATGCTAAGGGTCCACCTGTACTTGCAGAGTACAAAACAGTTTTATAGAGCTTATTTACCACTCAGAAGAGTTAAATGGGATGTCAGAGTCTCCTCTGGAGACCAAGGAAGAAAATCAATGACAACTTCTTCCAAGGACTGCAAGCTATGCCATCTGTTTCATTTGAAGCACCAGAAGTGGCCACATTTTATGCTTTCCTGTCCTGGAGCTCCTAAACTCTGCCACAAATAAGTAGATACCGATAATACCAAGCTTCACTAGTGAGGATTTTTCAATATTGATTAAGAAACCTAAACACATCAGAGAGAAGTTTCTTCTGGCTCACTTTTGCCAAACTCACACTCCATCCCAGAGCCCAAAGTGGCTGTGCGCTTCACCAGAAACGGTGGAACTGGGGTTCCCCTGGAAGCCAGCCTGCCCCCTGCACCAACCCTGGAAGCACAGTGGGCAGGGAGGACAGGAGCCCCTGTGCAGGTCTCCTGTCATCACCCAAACTTTGGCACAAGAGAGTTTGAGGTAAAGGGAGAGATGGGGAAACTCACTGAGTTGTCTTGGTCCTGAATAACACTCAAGTTGCAGGCTTGTCCATGAGATTTAATTAAATAATATTTGCTCTTAAATTAGCAGAAAAAATTAAACATTTTCAGATCTTCTGAGTGTTCTATGAGAGAATAAGAGGCCTTACTATACATCTGAAGAATTAAACTGTCCTAATTGCATCCTTGTGCAAAATAATGCATTACATACAATAGAAAAATATTTTTTAAGTGGATGGAAAAATCCACTGGGTTAAAGGAATACTACTGTCAGTTAAATGTATCCCTGCATTTGTGTAGTGCAAAAACAAGCTTTAATAAAAATGAAGAATCTAATAGGAACATTTCCATGAATTTTAAAATAACAGCAATGGAAACAATCTCATAAAACAAGTAAACCTCTCCAATATATGCAACTCAAGTATTAGAGCATTCATTTAGGCCCTGGGAATGTGAAAGCAACTATAAATTATGAATTACATGCTTTGCTCTACAATATGAGAGGCCAGATTTTATAATCTTTGTCTAGCTGTGGCTCCTGTAATTTTAGTACCAGGTGCAAGGGTTGTACCATTTAGCCCACCTAAAGAAACTGGAGAAATTACCTGATATGATACTCACTTATCAGGTTTCCAGTAGCCCATAGTAGATGCTCAGACAGATCCCCATCTTGAAAGGAAGCCTTATCTGGCATGAAATTTCCTATCTACTGAAGGTTGTTTTCTTAACCATTAAAAAGATTCTGAAGTATATTAGTTATGGATTACCTGACATTGGCCAGCCATGGTCAGCAGGTTGAGGGAAGTGATTATCTACCTCTTCTCCGCTGTCAGACCCCAGCTGGAGTGCTGCTAACACCTCTGGAGTCCATACGCAGGAAGGACATAGAAGCACTGGAGTCCAGAGAAGTGCCATAAAGAGGACCAGAGGGCTGGAGCACCTCTCCTGTGAGGAAAGGCTGTGACAGTAGGGACTGCTCAGCCTGGAGAAGAGAAGGCTAAGGGAAGACCTTATAGCATCATCGAGTACCTGAAACAGACCTACAAGAAAGCTGGAGAGGGACTTTTTACAAGGACATGTAGTGATAGGATAAGGAGGAGCTTCAAACTGGAAGAGGGTAGGTTTAGATTAAATATTAGGGAGAAATTCTTAACTATAAGGGTGATTAGGCACTGGAACAGATTGCCCAGAGATGTTTGGATGCCTCATTCCTGGAAGTGTTTAAGGCCAGGTTGGATGGGGTTTTGAGCAAACTGGTGTACTGAAAGGTGCCCATGGCAGTTGTGTTGAAGCTAGATGATCTTGGAGGTCCTTTTCAACCCAAACCATCCTATGATTTCATGAAATGAAGAACATGAAATGCAAAGTTCACCCAGAGAAGAAGGTACCAGGGTCCTGTAAGTGTGCCCATTACATTGCTTTACTGTCCAGACTGGTTGCCTCCTTGGAGCACTGTGATCATTCTGGGTTAACTGGGGATGAACTGCCTTGAAGACCAGTCTTGTGCTCAGACTTGGTCCTTGCTGGTTCAGAACAAGATAAGGTACTTACATTTATGACACTGGGAGTCAACTGCTTCCTCTAAATCACATTTTCAGCAGTTTCTCCTGTCAACCATCTTTAACTTTGTTTCCTCCAAACTGCTGTCAGGAAGAATGTTTTGCCTCTCCTCCCTAATATGCAAACCATGCTCCTGTCAATCTCACTGGCAGAATTGCTTCAAAGTCCTCATCCCACTCCCTGTGCTGGGCTGTACTCATATGAATTTGCCAAATGTCTGTACACCTGCTCTGGGATGGTTTTCCACCTAAAAAAGAACATGTTGGCATTAAAGCATTGTGAAACAGAAAAAATAAATAAATCCCAAACCCTAAATTAATTTAACTTGTTTATCTGGAATTTGTTGATATAATTAATCTCTGGAAGCAGGATATGAATAGTTGAGATCTGAATAGGAGTAGTTAAGATCTGAGTGAGGTATAACAGTATCACAGTTTACTCAGGGTCATAACTGTATACAGAAGATTAAAACCAAAATATTACCAGATAGCTTCAGAACCTGCAGGAGCCAGACCCTGCCAGGATATGTTTTCTGTTTCTATGCTTCTAAAAACCAAGGCACATAGGATTTCTTTAAAATCTTTTTGTCTTTTCTAATTTCCTATGTATTTCAAAATTTAGGTATAAAACTAACAAATTTTAAACAATAAAAAACAATAAAGTTCATTCTTGCCCCAGTAAAGACTTCAGACAAGGCTGTTAAGCTGTGAAATTAGAGCAAATTTTGCAGGATGGGAAGTTCTTTGGCAATGACTCTGTAGATGAAACAGTCTAAAGTAACTTATTCATAAATAGACCTAGAAACTCAGCATGAAAATTCTGTTCTTCATTTACTGTACAGCAAACTGCTCAGGGAGAATTAAAATGTATTCTGCCTTTTAGCCTTAGGCCTCAGAGAGCAGCTGGTCACTCCCATTGCCTTTGGGTATCCTGCAGACTGATCCCCACTTGCCTGGTCAGCAAAAATCTCAGTATTTTTTCCCAGCAGGAATAAAATCTCCATGACAGAAGGGGAGGAGGAGAAGAGCACAAACTTTACTGTTTTTCTGTATAAAATCTTATCTTCATTGGTGGTAAAATTACACTGGCGAAGAACTGAGGACAGCAGTGCCAAAACTGCCCCGTGAGGTGCAGAAAAGCTGGTAAAAAGTAAATGAGCTGAGGAAAAGCTGAGGAAAGCTGGAGGGAGAATAGTGGGAAGTTCATCTTGACCAGAAAGGACCTGCAAAATTCACTATCCTGTTGGGTGTGCAGTGATCAGAGCAACATGCCTATGGATGTTTGACCTCATCATGAAACAAGATTGCCTGGATACAGAGCACAGTTCAAAGACTCAGCAGGCACCAGAAGGTCTCCCAGTTTATTTATGGACAACTTAGAAGCTGTCTCCTTTTTTAGGCTGCTTCTTGCTCAGTTTACTTGGTTCTTGCCTACTTCTGGTCACTTTTCTACTGTGTGTCTTCCTTGAGAACTCCCCACCTGTGACATGGCATATGCACATAGGGCCTGCCTGCAGAAACCTACACCCATTAAATAATAACAGCAGAAACCCTCACAAGCATGCTACAGCCCTGCTACTTCCACTTAGGACCTTTTTCAATGGCAAACAAAAGTGACAGCCATCTATCCTAGCAAGAAACTGTATGTGGTGAAACTTTTATAAATGTGAAATTAGCCACCTGCAATAACTGTTGTAAAATTGTTAAATTAGTAATGGTGATTAGTCTCATTTCTTGCTATAATATCAGGGAACTAGCATGAAACAGCAGTAAAAAGACTCCAACATAGTCCAGAAAATAAGTGAAACCAAGTCTTGTTCCCTCAGTGAAATCAAAAACCTTGATGAACTCACTGCAGGCCTGCCTGCTTGCAAGAACTTTGTCACCCTATATCCCCACTGAAATAGCACAAAAGGGAACAGGAAAGAGTGATCCATTTTTTAATGTCTGCTAAAAATTAATCTGGCATGAAAAGAATTACAAGTCATAAGATGCCACAGAAAACTGGAATGTTTAAGCTTAATAAAATCACAGATCCCAATCTCACATTTTTTACAGTTTGAGACATCCGATCTTCAACATACATTTCCATCCTCTTCACTTAATTTATAGAAATGTGTGGAAGCACTGAATAAATAGCATGTTTTCACTCAAGCATGTACTGTATCACCGAAGGATCCACTTCCTCTGCCATCAGACTGGCGTGCAGTCTTTGGATTGTCGCTTTTTTCCCCAAACGCTGTTTCCACAGGACAAATGCAGCTACGATCTGTGACTGCAGGTTGTGAGGGTGATTGACTTTACATCGATAGATGTCAGTATGGGACAAACCCAAGCACAAAACTATATGCTCCCATTCAGGTCCCAGCCTCCTCGCCAGCTTGTTCAACTGCTGATCAGTCGGTGACATCTTCAAAATGCATGGTGCAACTTCAGGTATGTCTGTAAAAGAGAGAAAGAAAAAAAAAAGAGAAAGAAAAAGCATGCGTGTCACTAGGCAATGCTGCAAGAGTTAATGGGAGACATTGACAAAGGAGGGAATAAGCATGAGCAAGGCTGAGGTGAAAGAATTAATTAATTAAACAGAATACATATTTACCTAGAAAAATTAATTATGTAATGAACCAGAAGATTAATCAGAAGAAAACTATTGCTCAGTAGACCATGCTAGGGAGCCTTGTGATTTTGGATATCAGTAATCCAGACATCAGAACTGTACACCAAAGCCAAGACTTCCAGAAGTAATTATAGATTTCATGGTAGTGAACAAGAAAGGTTTTCAGGGAACCTGTTTCCAGCAGCCATCATCCTCAATGTGTTTGCACCAGTATGATATAGTGACAAACATGGGACCAATCATTCCTTATTACTCCTATTCTGTGATTCCATTTATACACTTCAGAAATAACTTTGATCTCTTACTTAATAGGTATTACTCTTTTTTTCTTCTGAGGGTTGTTCAAAGGAAATTCTGTCCTAAGATGCTACTTACCTATTCTGCCCTGTCATGTATAGCAAACTCATCTTGAGGAGACCAGCCTTGAGGGCTTTTCCTCTATTTGAATTAATCTATAAGCATGGTTCAGGTGAACCCAAATGAACAGGGCATCAACAGTGTTCACAAATACAAGCTATGCTTCTTTATCCCTCAGCCCAGTTCTTGTAGCACTCCTGAAAGCAGGCATGTATGTGCCACAGCTCCATTCATCTGAGCTCCTTGAAGATGTTTTCAGGAGAATGCAAGGAGGTCCCATTTTTTCTCAGAGATTTTTGCCTGATGTTTAGTCCCATAGGATTGTCCACATACCCAAGAGAATGCACTCTTCATCCAAAAAGATGTTTTGCACTAAACTGTTACCTGAGGAGGACAGGATCAATTCAACTACCAAAGCAGCTTTCATAGGAAGCATTAAGATAGCTGTAATTATCATCAGTAAAAATCTTGTAGGGACTGAAGCAAGCATTTCTTACAAACACAACTGATCTCTTTATGTGTTCCCTAGAATAATCTGGTGATTAAAATAAAATCCCGAAAGTATTCATACAAACAGTGTTAGTAGCCAAGTGAGAATACAGTGCTATTCAGAAACATGCTGTGTGAGATCCAGCTCACCTAACTACAGATAACCCCTCTTGAACTAAATATGCTAGGATTAATTACTGCTGAGAAGAGAAATAGACTCTTCTAAAACACAAACTCTCTCACTGGAAAGAAGATTTCTAAAATAATCAGATTAATTAACTAAACTCCTCTAAATGTGCACATTTCTCTCCACTTAGTGTAAAAGGAGAACTGGGTATAAGCTCAAATGTTGACGCTGATGCTGTAAACAGCCAGTGCCAGTGAAATGATTCTCTTCCTGTAAGTTCAAACCACATGCCAGCCTTTAAAAAGGTGCATTTTGAAAAGCAGCATAAAATACCTACAAAGCATATTTATTCTTCAATAGCTTTTGTGATCAAAAGCTGAAATGAAGAGTCAATGCAGTCTGCAATTGCTGTTCTACTTCTCTTGCTGAAGATACTGCAAAAAACACAGGCAAAATATCCCCTTGAAAAATGCTGATTATAGCCTGTTGGTCTAAAGCAGCAGACTCCCTACAGAAATGCTGCTTTGCAAAATCTAATTTATTGCTCCAATATCATGCTCACAGTCTCCACTACAGCAGAACAGCAATACCAGAAAGCACATTCCTTCATTTTATCAGAAGTAATTGTTTTCGCATAGAACACCCAGAGCCTGAAAATGTTTGTACAGTTTCAGCCAAATAATACACAAGAACTATACAAAGCTGCTTTGAGTAAAGAGAAAATAGCTTTCTGAAAACTATTTAGGTCTCTTTGATCTTCTTGTCTCCAGACAGCCAAAGGAATCTGGGGCAAGTGCTGGTTTGTGGATAGGGCAGAGGATGCACAACTTCTGAAGAAGGCTGAGCAATACCAGTGGGACTGCCCTATGCTGTCACATCACATGTGATACCAGTTTCACAGGTAAGTCAGGACAAGGCAGTGTATTTCATGAATGCAAATAGTTGAGAATAAAATAAATATAGCTACACTGTGCTGTCACCAACAATACTTTTTGATATTAAACCCTTTCCTTGGCTTATGGTCAGCTACTAAGTGTGTTAGCACAGCAGTAATACCTGCCAGCCTGGGCTTTTTGTTCTCACACTGAAGTTTTTATATGTCACATCCACTAGCAGAATGATTTTACGATACTGAAATGTGATCAAGAAGGAAGGCCTAACAATAATACATGTCAGCTTGTCCATCCAGCCTTTGATATTAGACAGGCTTTTTTTTACTACAATCAGTATCTTGCGTTCAGTCTGTTATCAGCCCTTTAATTAGGATCAGAATAAAACCCATCCAGGAGATCTTTTCATCTTACGCTACCATCTGATTCTAATATGGATGTGGAAAACTCTGGGACAGAAGCCAAATGTTAAATTTAATACAAAGGACTGGTATTTCAGTCTCATTTTATTTTCTTTGATAGCTCATTTTCAGCTCTGATACAAAAACACTGAGGAAAACCGGAGATAAATATTACATGACAGACAATATTATTTAGAGGTATAGAGAAATATTTAGTGAGAACTTTCCGTTATGACAAATGCAAAATCACAAAAAGATCTGGGTAAATTCTAGGATTAATGTCACTCCTAATTTAATAAACCTAATGGTATTTGAGGTGAAATAGAAATGAGTTCTCTGTGCTCATGCCCAAACTGCTTTGCATATATTGCAAAAATATTAAAGATACCTTTTATTTTAGCTATGTTTACTACAAACTCTCATTTATAATCTCCGCTTGTCAGGAACAGCCTGAGGGAGGTAATGAGATTAGAGAAAAAGTTTCAATTATGCAGATCCTGCAGTTGCATTTGAAAGGTACTTTTAGGATACTGAGACCTCATTTTTGAAAAAAAAAGGTCAAGTTTTTCTTGTTCTAGGTGGGTCTGATGAGTAGGTGTACGTGCTTCTGTCAGGCAAGTGCTTCTGCTTAGCAAAACGAGGACTGCGCTGTTAAAAATGGGAAGAAGTGGAAGAAATAGGGCTTGGGGCACCACAGGAGGGTGTTGAGGGTTGCTCTGGAGTAGGCAACTTGTGCTGCTGTCACCTCCACTGCCAACACCAAATGAAACACTGTGTCCAGCTGTGGCCATGGTCTGGGCTGCAAGGTGCCAGTGCCACATGCTGCAGAGATTTAGAGGCTGAAGTCTCACTGCTCATGCGGAAGCCACTAAGGTCCTGAGGAATGAGGAGCCAACAGCTCTGTGCTGGGGAGAGAGCCAGCCTGGTGCAGAACTCCCCTGGGACCACCAGCCAGCTGGCTGGCATGGTTCTTGGGACCATGAAAATCCCCTTCCCTAAGGCTGGAGATGGGAAGGACACTCTCCACTCTGGCTGTGGAGCTGAAACTGACCCAGAGAAAGACCTGCAGCTCCTTCTATTCAAAGCTGTAGCATGAGGGAATGTGCTTCTCCCCATTGCTGGTGAAGGAAGCTCATCCACACTGAGCTTTATCCTAGTTGTTCCAGTTAAAAAACAGGAGACGTTGACAACTTCTGGCCTGTGTGCACATCTGTACTTCCAGACCACTGCACAAAACAGGAGTTACAGTGGTGCTGGTGAGTGTGGACAGGAAACACAAGATATAGATATAAATAGTATCACAGATACAGACCAGACAAAACAGTCACCCAGATAACAAAGATACAAAAAACACAGGGGGAAAAGGCAGACAGGCACTGCTTTTGCATTTCTTTTTCTTCGGAAACTCTGTAGCTTTAAGTAGGAGACTACAAGAAGATACTGGAAAAATCAGGGGGATGGAAAACAAGCTCACCTTAGCTGTGTCTCACTTGGCACAAATGGAAGGATGTAAGATAAAGTCCGCACAGGAGACGGCAGCAAAAGGAGCTGAGGCATTCACTGCTGGATAACCTGCAAAGTACCCAGCTGATTCCTCAGAACTGCTGGGGACCAAAATGCCTTACAGTTTTGCCTAAAGGGCCCTTCTCCATGTATGTGTGACTTCTTTGTGCATGACCAAAAGCATTTGTTGGAGTTTCAGACAGATTTCTCTGTGAAGTCAGTACATTTTAACACAAACTCAACTTTTTGGCTTTTGCTCCCCGCTGTGTAAAAGGGACTTGGATGGAAATTGCACCTGAATCCAAATTGCTGAAAAGATCTCAGTCAGTTGCTGCCTAATCCTACGAGAACAATGCCACAGGCAGTTCAGAAGACAGTTGAAGAGTCAGGGATATATTATGGCCCATCTTTTATCTAATAACTAATAAACCTGTCTGTTGGGAAAGGTGTTTCTGCAGACTGGTCTTTGCTTCCAGCACTGCCTCTGTATTTTATCCGCTTAAGAGGACCATGTACATACTTGTTGGATAAGACAAGAAGGAGCCGTGGAAGAGGAAATGGGAATCCAGCTGTCTCTTGAGCTCCACATTCTAATGCCCAGACATACTCCATTTCTCCTGGTAAATCATTATAGAAAAAATATAAAGATTTCCCTGGGAAGGGTCAAGAATGCTTCCTAGCCTCCAGAACAGCACTGGCTTGAGAGAAAACTCTCCTGGGAATCAAGGAGTATGCTGAAATCAAGCATGCAAGAGCTCTTGGCAGGAACAATGCTAGGAAAATGCTCTAATTTTTATATAATAACATCAGAAACATGTTGGCTAGTCTGGTCTTCAGACCCTGCAAAACTGGAATGGGACTGTAAAGAGGAGTAACTACTTGGGCATGCATCTGGCCACAGCATCTCCTCCTGCTAGGTGTATGGAGTCCTTCAGTGATCTGGACTCAAGACGCTAACTGTTGTTCACTTAATCCTCTTATCAGATACTAGTCATGATTTCTGAAGAGTTCAAAGCAAGCATTTCAGAGTCCTCTTTAATCATCTTTTCTGGCATCTG